CACTTCAGAGTGCCCCTCCCCTGACTCCTTGCCAATGGGGTCCGGAATTCAAAACTTGGTTATATACTCCAGAGTGCAGTATAATGGGGTCCGGAATTTTTCCTTCTCTTAGTCACAGATGCCCCAGTGTACGGACACATCTGCATTCCACATTCAAAAGGTTCTTTGCCCTGCTTGCTGCAGCTTCGTGACAAAACACATTCTTCCACTAGGAAATACAACCAAGAATAATACCCTATGCTGTACTGCTGCTGCAGGTAGATTTTTGCAAAAAAAGCTGAAGGAAACATCATAGAGATACAGGGTCACAGAACACAAAATGAACAAACACCCTCTCAGTCTGCTGCTCTCTGTAGTGGCTTACGCTCCCAGTCCAAACAATGTGAGCAGTAAAATGCTGAACATACACATTTGCTTTCTCGAAACTAAGAATTACTTGAAAATAAGGGCAGCTCTCCCAGTTTCAGGTTCTTCCATTTTCCTCTGCTGATTTGAAACGTCTTACATTCCCTGTGAAGGAACACTGGTGCAGCTCATGATGCAGCTCTTCAAATTAGTCTAATTCCTATCTAAGCCATTACTGTAGCACTGGCCAATATGATGCAAGTATAATTAAGGTCACCCAAGGCTAGCTACCTGCCAGCATTGCCCTTCTCTGGTGGTAAGGAGACAGAAAAGAACTTAGATAGATAAAGAACATAAAGGGGCTTAATAGCAACACCTCCCCAGAGATACCCAGGTGCTGGTATGCAACACTTAGCCCCAAATAGCCTTTGTCCTAATGGGGTCACTGAACTCTTATCAGACACTGGTCCAGCTAATTTCTTGCCCTTTTTGGTGCCACCCCAGCATTACAAAATGATTATTATTACTTATGTATAAAAATCAAACCCTTGCAAGTCAGGCAACTTGAATTCCTCCCCATCTTACAGGAGGGAAAAGAAAAGGAAAGGTCTAAGGTACTTACTGTCCCATGCCCAAATCCAGTTGGTTTCAGTGAGACTCCTGAGTAACTGAGCAACCAACAGGCACCAGGTCAGTGTCAGAACCAGCCACAGAACAAAGACATCTTGACCCCTACTTAACACCAGACCCTGCTACCTTCTAGATCATTACTGCTATCTCGCTGCCTTAAATCGCTACATTGTACTTTGCTCCCAGTAGATGCAGCTAAATAGGGATGTACAGTAGCTGCTTTATTGTTGTGCATAGACTCTTTGGAAAAAAGTACTCCAGTTGTGCTGATAACATAGAAAGGCCCACTAAACTCTAAGGGACAGACGGGCCAGAAAAAGGAAGAACTGAGAAGTCCTTTAAGAAGCTTGAGAGCATTGGTCCCCAATTTACAAGTGAATAAATGGAAGTCAAGAGACAGCAAGCAATTCTCCCCAGAGTCACTGAGCTGGCTCAGAGTTCCCAGATCCCATTATACTGCACTCTGGAGAGTATAACTAAGTTTTGAATTTCAACAATCCTGCACATCAAATGTCTGTAGCTACAGGGACCAATGTTTTACCTACTAGAATGCAGTCTATCTAGGTCCTAGAACCAAAAAGGCAGAGCACTGGATTTCCCAGCCAGAAGAGAGAAGTTTTTAAATGCTCTATTTTCCCAAAGACGTTGAGCTGGAATGCTACATATTTAACAGGGCAAATTTAACCCAGGTGCAACTCAATGTCAGTGGAGTCTAAGAGGCAATCTGCTCCCCGGGAGACAAGTAAGTGGGTTATTTGGATCTTTGAAATTTTTTTTTCTGTTTTGCAAAGGGTAGAAAGAGCCAAAATGAATGGAGCAGTCACATTTCTATTAAGTGCTTAACTCTTTCGAAACCAAATGATGGGGAAAAGAAAAGGGAGCCTGAAGTCAAGGGTAGAAAAGGTGTGGAAATGAGGAGGGGTTGAAAGAAAAATCACATTTTATGTAACTCACATCAGTGCACCACACAAAGAGCTGCAAAGAGGACCAAAAAAACCTGATATCAAAAACGATCAAAGCCTATTTGGAACAATGATTGTGTCTCTTTCTGGGTCTGTCTCTGGCTTTCCCCAGGGAATGAAGAACACATCCAACCCTTCACAGCAATTGCAGCAAGTTTTTTGGGTTATTTTTAAGATAGTCATTATAACTCTTGTGACTCACTGGCTTGTAATGATGGAAATATGTTGTTTGATCTGCAGAGATACAGACATCCAAAGAAGAAAAGGAAACAGGAATCTTGGGGGAGAAGATGCTCTACAGAAAATAAGAAAGCAGAAATAGGACAGTGAGTGGGAGAAGTGTAGGTTTTTACCCCTCTCCAGACCAACAAATATTGTGATAGTTCTACCCGCTTACCCAATGCAATAGGGCATTAAAATAGACACCTTGTTGGTCACTGCCTTCATAGGCTCATTAGAGTCTGCATAGTTGCACTAGGGCAGCACCTTAGAACAAAGGATATATGTTAGACTGGAACAAAATCAAGCTAGAAGACATAAAAGTGGCAACCAGCTCTGAAGCCGCCATCCCACTTTTCTTCTCTCATGCTTTATACCCCTCAAAAGGTACCTCTGTTGGTATACCTTTGAAAGGCGGCTTTCTTGTGAAGGAAGTCATCTAACCCCTATGCATGGGGATGGCTGGGCTGGGAGGAAGGAACATTTTCTGATTTGCTTGGACATTTCTGGCTACAAGGGCTGCCAGCAGACAAGCCCCCAGTGCCAACCATGTGTATGTTTTTGCAGATGTTGAGACAGGATAGATGTGCCGGCTCCATGACAACATCCTACAGAGTCTTCAAGCCACACAGCTGGCACTGGCTCTGAATGCATTTCAGCATAGCTCTGGCTGAAGATTAATTTTGGAACACAAGGAGACCATCTTGGTAGCTTAGGAACTACAGTGCTTCCATGCTCCAGTGCCACAGAAGCATCCATCCAGTCAGAAGAGGGAGCCAAACCCAGAATGGCCATCTGTAACAATATGGATATATAACTGAGAAAACAGCAGAACCATCGTAGTTTTTGCTCCACGTGAAACAGAGCAGGAGCGGAGGGGGCTTAAGGGAAATCAGCAATCAGCTAACACTTGCCAGTTGCAATACCTGTTCCTTTTTGCCTCTCAGATAAGTGATCTTGGCCCCTGGCAGCTTAGATCACCTTGTCCACGTTACCCATAGTACACAAGATCACATTCATTTTCAGTCGGATCTTCTTTTTTAATACCAATTGAACTCCCTAAGATCAGTATTTTGCCACCTTTAGCTCCCAGTCTGCAATAGCAGGCTTCTGTAACACCTATGGCAGACCAGATTTTCTAGGGGTGCTAAGATGTGGCAGATGTGTAGTGCTAGAAAAACAAATCTGTTTGGAAAGAAGTCATATGAGAGCTTCAAAGAGGAAGCAAAGGATGTACACAAGACCCGCTGCCTTTAAGAGGAATAGAGCCAAAGCCTGTGGCTTCCAAAAGCAGATGGCCATGGAAATCCATTTGGGGAGCTGACCTCAAAAAGATCTCACCTCCTACTGGCCCCATGAATAAGAGCCACTTGCACAAACTGAGATATTAAAGCCATTTCTACAGCACTGTAGATTTGTATAGCCCTTTAAACAACAAAGGGATAAACCAGTGTCTTTTCCTACGGTGCATATAATAACAGGAGCTGCTCCTGAACACTCATTTCTTATTTTGAACATAACAGGAAGTCATGAGCTATCCATTTGTACTTAGCACCTACAGAGATCATTCATCCCCTCTGCTACAATCGAATTAGAGCGCAAGGGGTAAGATTGAGCCTCACAGGCCAAATACAGGCCCCCCCTCCTGGATGTTCTTCAGTGTGTGTAAGTCCAACATTTGAAGAAATCCTCTCAACTGGGTCCAGTGACCCCTCTCTCTCCTGTTTTTCTTTTTCGTGTGTGCTGGTCAATCAGGTGACCTGGCCAGATAAATTCCTAAGGGGAGGGGGAAGCGCTCTCTTCCTTCTGGTTGGCATTTTGAATGCTGCAAGCAAAGATCCCAGGTTGCTGCCTGGAGATTTTCGGCAAGTAAAAACCTGAAAACTAGCCAGGAGTTAGGAATTATGTGTAGGCCAGTTGCGTCTTGAAAGAATTACTGTGTCCAATCTCTGTACAGACTCACATTACTTATGTTTGGTCAAAGTGTATTCTGACTTCCTCTTCTACCCCCTCTGATCAATAAAGGTCTCAGGTTACAGCTTGTCTTGCTGTGTTACTGAGGAGAAAGAGGGAGAAACTTTCCTCTCCCAGCTCATTCAGCAAAGCTTGTCTTCTTATTTTCCCCCAGTTCTACCTGATGCTATCTTGGGATGCTTTGGGATGAAAGAAGCACCCAGAAATATTACAGTGGGCAAAGCACTCCCAAGGCTGGCAGGGTCGGTGTGCCCCAAGCTGCACAGAGCCCTGCAAGAGACCAGTGCCCAGGTGGTGGCAGCATTACCCCAGGCTTGCGAATATGCTCCAGGAAGCAGGACAGCTGGCTGTAGGCAGCCTGAGAGAGACTCCCAAAATGAGGTTTTAGGTCTGACAGAGTGAGGTGAGTGGCTCAGCATAGTAGCACCCCCTATTGTGTGTGCCACACAACATACTTAACTTTTTAAGGCTTCTTCTCTGAGCAGGCTCCAGTACAGTTTTTGCCCTGCTCATTTGTTTTCCTTGGCACACTACCAAGGCACAGACTAACTGTCTGTCCAATCTTCCTTTCTCGAATATTGGACCTCACAGCCCAACTGTCCCAGACCCTCGGGATCAAAGGCACACCTACTTACGCACACTTTTTCCAGAGCTCCCACTCATGGGCACTCCGATTTACCTCCCCAGGGACAAATGATAATTGAAGCACAAGATCTACAGGCTCTGCCAAGGTTTCTAATGCAAACTGATAGCACAAGAAAATCCACAGATCTA